AGCCAAAGAATGTGACGGACGTCCGATCCTTCCTCGGCTTGGCCAGTTATTATCAGCGTTTCATCAAGAGTTACTCGAAGATCGCAACCAACCTAAGCAAGTTACAAAGAGAGGAGCGGCCTTTTTCGATGACGATGTGCGCCATTCTTTTGAAACACTCAAAGCGGCACTCTTATCCGCCGAGGTGTTACATATTTACGACCCGCTTCTAGCGCGTCACTACCGATGCGTCGGGCTATGGCATTGGGGCCGTCCTTGAGCAGCACGATGGCTCGGACTGGCACCCAGCCGAGTACTTTAGCAAGAAAGTACCTCCCGTGCATTCGATCGACGACGCACGGAAGAAGGATCTTATTGCCTTCGTCCACGCCCTCAAGCGTTGGCGACATTTCCTCCTTGGTCGGAAAGCATTCCGATGGGTAACGGATAACAATCCGTTGGCATTCTACAAGTCGCAAGACACGATTAACAGTACCATTGCCCGATGGATGGCTTTCATCGACCAGTTTGACTTTTTCCCCGATCACATTCCCGGGAAGTCAAACCGTTTTGCGGACGCCCTCTCACGGCGACCGGATCTTTGCACCGCAGTCTACTCTACCTTCGAGATCGACGACGACTGGTGGGAGAGCTTCATCCGCGGCTATCAAGCCAACCCCCACTTTCGCGACAAGTACGCGAATTGCTCCTCTCCGAATCCGGTGCCTTCGCATTATCGGATCCAAGAGGGCTACTTACTTGTGCATTCACGGGGTAAGGATCTTCTTTGTGTACCGAGTGATTCACACTTGCGCACACGGCTTCTTGGTGAGTTTCACGATGCGCCGCCTCCGGACATTTTGGTGTCAACCGTACACTTGGCCGACTTCGCCCGCGGTTCTATTGGCCCGACCTTCTCAAGGACGCCACCCGCTATTGTGAGTCGTGCGAAGTCTGTCGGCGTTGCAAGTCACGCAACCATCGTCCGTTTGGCGAGCTACACCCACTACCAGTTCCCCTTGGGCGACGGGAAGCGATTGCTATGGATATCACTGACCCCTATTGATGGGATCCTCACGGTCGTCGATCGCCTCACCAAGTACGCCATGTTTTTGCCTTGCCGCTATCACGCAAAGGCACCGGAGTTAGCCGAGGTCTTATACACCGGTTGGATTCGCTCCAAGGGCTACCCCAAGGAGATCGTTTGCGACCGGGACACTCACTTTCTGGGGCTCATCTTTGAAGCCGAGTTCGGCTCGCCACCCGCAAACCGATGGTCAAACGGAAAGGGCGCATCAGACCGCTCAAGTCCTTCTACGCACTCTCATCCGTCCCGACCAGGCTGATTGGGTTGAGCGCTTGTCAGACGTGGAGTTGGCTTACAACTCATCGATCCATCCGGCTATCGGGATGTCGCCATTCGAGTTTGAGCATGGTTCACCCATCTCATCGCCGCTGGACGCCACTTTGCCGCGCACAGCCCAGAGCAACGACCATCTTGCGTTCCTTCGTCGCATGCAAGAGCTTCTTGTCAAGGCACGGGATCAGATGTCGAAGACGCAAATACGGATGAGCCGTCAAGCCAACCGCAATCGCCTTCCTTGCCCGTTCCGCGCCGGCGATCTGGTTTGGGTCTCCGCCGCAGAGTTCAGCCTTGAGCAAGACATCTCTCGCAAGCTCCTTCCCAAGTGGATGGGGCTTGGCGCATTCTCTCTGCAGTCGGTGATGATCCCGAGGGGCCTTCATTCCGCATCGCGGTGCCACCTCACTTGCCCATCCACACGGTATTTCACAGTTCCAAACTCGCTCCTTTCGTCTCAGCGCAGTCCGACGGGTTTCCCGGTCGACGTACGCAAGACCCTCCTTCCATGGACGGATTTCAGGAGGCCGGCTACATCATCACCGACCGGCGCCATGGCAACAAAGAAACAAAGTTTCTACTTCACTTTTCCTACTGCTGCCACAAGGCTGACCGTTGGCTGACGCGTTCGGAGCTGCAGGCCACAGCTCCCGCCATTCTCTCACGTTATCTTAGCAAAGGGAAGACTACGCCGAGCACTCCAGCTCCTCGCCTTCCTCGCTACATTCCGCCATCGGATCGGCAGCTTCGCCCGCGCCCCGGCTCGTCTTCATAAGGAGGGGGGCGTGTTACACGCTGAACGCCTACACACAGGCCCCTCACGGGACCCGAGGTTGGAATAGGGCCCCCAGGTCGCGTCACCACAACCTGAAGGCCCTATGGCATTTTTACTTGGGCCTGCATCAGAAAAACGCCAGCTTTAGATCATTTTTATATTCTTTTATTTATTTATTTGCTGCTGTTTTTCTAACAGTTGTACTGTTGTCCGTTTTGTGGCCAGGTACACGTTTTAGGACCAGGGCCAGATTCAGGCCCAGAGGCTGAGCTCCTAAGAACGTTTGGACCTTTTCTTTTGTTTTCGAACAGATTGCTACCTGTTCGGACTCAGGCCGACGTTGAGGCCGGGTACGTCCGCACAGGACCGGTTTGAAGCCAGGTACCAGGAAACTGAATCCTGGACAGGGCCTGGACGTCCGGTAGGGACCCAGGCAGGCC